GTGTGTGGCTTCGCAGCGCCATGGCCCAACTGAGGAGGACCACCGTCGACATTGTCACTCCGAGAGGTTGAATGGCGGATAGTAGGCGGGACAGGGCAACGGTAACGAACAGCGCAGGGTCACTTGAACAAGCTGGCGTTGCTTTCTTGGATGCAATTGCGTTGGTCAAGCAAGGGGACGTTGGGGCAGTCGCCAGGTACTCGGTCCAAAACGCGACTGTTTTCGAGGGGTCTTGGGCTTGCACATAGTGGATCACGGGCCGAAACGACGGGCGTTGGGGGATTGGACGGTCATGATAAGCATCCATCAAGTCGGACAAGAGAAGGGAAATGGACCATCCGTCGTACAGCGCGTGGTGGATGGTCAGGACACCGATAGATTCTGCGTGCGGCACTGACACGACCGTGAAGCGCGCGAACGTTGCATCGGTTGCTTGGAATGCACGAGCCTTATCCAACGCCAGGAACTCGGTCAATGAAGTCGCCTTGTGCTCGCAGCGCACCTCCACACAGGAAGCAGGGTTCACGACGTGGTAGTTGGTATTGTCCGATGCCAGGATGAATGTCGTGCGCAAAGCTTCGCAATGCTCAGAAATGCGAGCGTACGCAGTAACAAGTCTGCTGGCGTCCAGGTCCACAAATGGCACCTGCAAAATCCACCGGGACGGGTTTTCTATCGATGAACTCAGTAAAAACGACTGCTCTGGCGTCGTGGCATAGGCCGCTTCGTGTTCTGGCCAAGCGGTCGTGATATCCTGGCTCACTTGGCTTGGAAGTGGCACGTCCGACCACTCCACAGCTGGAATATGAGCCTGCTCGGTCGCCGTGAGTGCCAAATCACACAATTGGGTGGACTGGAGAATGTCCCCCACCGACACCCTCCACCCAATCTTCTTAAGCTCCGCAGCGAGGTAGATGGCCGTGATCGAGTCGCCACCCAACGCGACAAAGGACGATCGCCGACCGATCTCTGCCACGTCTACTTCGAGAACGCTTGCGATGACTTGAGCCAACTTAGCTTCCTCATGTGTCTGCATTGCTTCGAGCTCAACCACTGCCTTCAGCAACGCTAAAGCTTTCGTGTTGATTTTCCCGTTTGAATTCTGGGGCATTTCGTCCAACCCCGTCCACATCGCAGGAACCATATACACCGGCAACCGATCGACCACAGTCTTGCGAAGGGACTCCACATTCACTGTGGCTGGAGTAAAATACCCAACAAGATGGGACTTGTCTTGGACGATCACGCAAGCTGATATGACATCAGGATGGAGCATCATGGCGTTTGCCACTTCGTCCAACTCGATGCGGTACCCCTTCAACTTGACCTGGCTGTCCATCCGCCCCAAGATCTCAAACTGACCGTTCGGCAACAACCGACCCACGTCTCCTGTTCGATACATCGTCCCCGGGCGACGGGAATACGGATCCAGTACAAATCGATCTCGCGTCAGCTCCGGCAAGTTGATGTATCCCGGCGACACGCACACGCCGCCCAAGTAAAACTCGCCGGAAACCCCCATCGGGACTTGTCGCTGGTTCTCGTCCAACACATAGCAGTTCACATTGGCGATCGTTGACCCAATCGTGATGGGACTGTTTGGCGTCAACGCGATGCCGTGAGACATTATCGCGCACTCGGACGGTCCATACAGGTTCATAAACTGAACATGGGGCGCCCACAAATCTCGAAGAGTTGTCGGACAAGCTTCGCCGGCCACAGCCACGAC